TTTTTATAGGTGAATTGAGTCTATTGATATTAATGACCAGTGGTTGTTAACTCTGGTTATTTTTTTTGGTGGTAGTGTTTGTGTGTTTCCCTTCTTTGAGTTGTGCTGGTGGAGGGTTGTCAGATGCCTGTGTTATTATGGGTGTTGTTGGCTTTCTTGGTTTGTGGTCTTTCTTCTAGTATTTTCTATAAGGCTGGGTTTGTGGGTACTTATTGTTTAAATCTGTTTTTGTCCTGGAATATCTTGTTTTCTCCATCAATGCTGAATGCAAGCTTTGTTGAGTATAGTAGTCTTGGCTTGCATCCATGGTCTCTTAGTGTCTGTAACACATCTATCCAAGACCTTCTAGCTTTCATAGTTTCCATTGAGAAGTCAGATGTAATTCTGATAAGTTTCCCTTCATATGTTACATGACCTTTTTACTTTGCAACTCTTAATATTCTTTCTTTATTCTGTATGTTTTGTGTTTTGATTATTATATGGCGAGGGGAATTTTTTTTGATCCATCTATTTGGTGTTCTGTATGCTTCTTGTACCTTCATAGGAATATCCTTCTTTAGGTTGGGAAAGTTTTCTTCTATAATTTTATTGAATATATTTTCTGGGCCTTTGAGCTGTAATTCTTCTCCTTCTTCTACCTCTATTATTCTTAGGTTTGGTCTTTTCATGGTGTCCCAGATTTTCTGGATGTTTGTGTTAAGAATTTGTTGGATTTGTTATTTTCGTTAATCAATGAGTTTATTTCCTCTATAGTATCTTCAGCATCTGAGATTCTTTCTTCTATCTCTTGTATTTGTTGGTTATATTTGTCTCTGTAGTTCCTGTTCATTTACCCAGATTTTTCATATCTAGCCTTCCCTCAGTTTGTGTTTTCTTCATTACCTCCATTTCATTTTTCAAGTCTTTAACTGTTTCCATTACCTGTTTGATTGCTTTTTCTTGGTTTTCTTGGGTATCTTTGAGAGATTTATTCATTTCTTCTACCTTTTTGTTTGTCTTCTCCATTTCTTTAAAGGGGTTTTTCACATCCTGTTTAAGGTCCTCTATTATTTTCATAATGTTACATTTAAAGTTGAATTTTTTTCTACTTCTTCTGGAATAGGGTGTTCAAGTCTTCTTGTTGCGTGATCCCAGAATTCTTTTGTTGCCATCAAATGACACCTGAGCAAAGATCAAAGGAAACGAAGAGTTCTGGGCACATGAGCTCCCCCACTACCCAACCCCATCCACCTGACTCTCCAAGTTACTACCCCTCACACCCCCAAACTCGCCTATCCTCCTGCAACCTCGGTGGAACTCTGAAACACAGCTTGCTCCAATTCTGAAGAGACTTAAGAAGTGAGTGAACAGCATGTGGCGGGACACCCCTCTCTCTAGTACCTCCACAGTGGGACAAAATCACGGGCCCCTCCTCCAACTCCCTAGACTTTTTAGCCAGCCAGTAGAAGAGTTCCACACAGTTAGGTTCCCGCATTACCCAACCCCATTCACTGAACCCTGCAAACTACAAGCCTCACCACACCCCAAACTTGCCTATCCTACTGCAACCCCAGTGAAACTCTGAAACACAGCTTGCTACAATACTGAGGGGATCAAGAGCTTGCTACAACACTGAGGGGATTAAGGCAACAAGAGAGCAAACCCAGGAGAGAAGAACAAGAGAGCAGGCTTAGAGAGACCTCAGAGGCTTCTTGAGACACAGATATTGACAGTACATAGCAGACCAAGAAAATTTCCCAAATACTCAAACAGTCACTGCAAGGATTGGACCGAGATGCAAAGACACTGCCAGCCTCATTTGAAGAAAGAGATGGCTGGGTGACAGTGCAAGAATTCCTACAACAACCTGAAAAGCAACATGGTAACCCTAGAACCCAGTGGTCATACAACAGGAAAACTTGATCATCCTAACCCAGAAGAAGCAGAAGAAAACAACCTTAAATGTAATTTTATGAAAATGATGAAGACCTTTAAAAAGGAAATGAAAAACTCCCTTAAAGAAATGGAGGAAAAGACAAACAGAAAATGGAAGAAATTGATAAATCTCTCAAAGAAACCCAAGGAAACCAAGAAAAAACAATCAATCAACGAAGCAAACAGTTCAAGACTTGAAGATTGAAATAGAGGCAATAAAGAAAACACAAAATTTGAGGTAATTTTGGATATGGCTAATCTGGGTAAATGAATAGGAACTACAAAGACAAGTATAACCAACAGAATACAAGAGATAGAAGAAAGAATCTCAGGTGTTGAAGACACTGTAAACGAAATAGGAAATGACCAAAGAAAACATTGAATCCAACAAATTTTTTACACAAAACATTCAGGAAATCTGGGACACCATGAAAAGATCAAACCTAAGAATAGTGGTAGAAGAAGGAGAACTCCAGCTCAAAGTCACTAAAAATATATTCAACCAAATCATAGAAGAAAACTTTCCCAACCTAAAGAAGAATATTCCTATGAAGGCACAAGAAGCTAACAGAACACCAAACAGATTGGATCAAAAAAAATCCCCTCACTGTATAATAGTCAAAATGCAAAACATGCAGAATAAAGAAAGAATATTAAGAGTTGCAAAGGAAAAAGGTCAAGTAACATATAATGTTAAACCTATCAGAATTACTCCTGACTTCTCAATGGAAACCATAAAAGCCAGAAGGTCTTGGATAGATGTGCTGCAGACACTAAGAGACCATGGATGCAAGCCCAGACTACTATACCCAACAAAGATTTCAATCACCATTGAAGGAGAAAACAAGATATTCTATGACAAAACTATATTTAAACAATATGTACCCACAAACCCAGCCCTACAGAAAGAACTAGAAGGAAAACTTCAACCCAAGGAAGCTAACTGCACCCACAAAAACACAAGCATCTGATAACCCCCCCACCAACATAACCGAAAGAAGGGAAACACACAAACACTACAACCAAAAAATAACAGAAATAACCACTGGTCATTAATATCGCTTAATATCGATGGACTCAATTCACTATAAAAAGACATAGGCTAAAAGAATGGATACAAAATCAGGATCCAGCCTTCTGCTGTATACAAGAAACATACCTCAACCTCAAAGACAGACACTGCCTCAGAGTAAAGGGTTGGGAAACAGTTTTCCAATCTTAGTTTTACACCTAAGAAACAAGTGGGTGTAGCTATCCTAATATCTAACAAAATTGATTTCAAACTAAAATCAGTCAGAAGAGATGGAGAAGGACACTTTTATAGCCAGAACCTGGAAACAACCTAGATGCCCCTCAATGGAAGAATGGATAAAGAAAGTGTGGAATATATATGCATTAGAGTACTACTCAGCAGTAAAAAAAAAATGACATCTTGAATTTTGCATGCAAATGGATGGAACTAGAAAACACTATCCTGAGTAAGGTAACCTAGACCCAAAAAGATGAATATGGTATGTACTCACTCATAAGTGGATTCTAGCCATTATTAAAGGACATTGAGCCTATAATTCGTGATCCTAGAGAAGCCAAATAAGAAGGTGAACTCAAAGAAAAACATATAGTTATCCTCCTGGATGTTGGAAGTAGATAAGATTGCCAGGCAAAAATTGGGAGATTGGGGGTGGGGTGGGGGTAAGGAGAGGGGGTGGGGGTAAGGAGAGGGGGGGGAGAAAGAAGTGAGAATGGGGAGGATGGGAAGAACTTGGGGGAAGGGACGGTTGGGAGGGAGGAAGAGTGGATATGGGAGCAGGGAAGTATATACCTTAATTAAGGGAGCTATTTAAGGGTTGGCAAGAGACTTGACTCTAGAGGGATTCCCAGGTGTCCAAGGAGATGTCCCCAGCTTGTTCCTTGGGCTGCTGAGGAGAGGGTAACTGAACTGGCCCTATCCTATAGCCACACTGATGAATATCTTGCATAACACCTGGAGATGGATGGAGATAGAGACAGAGACCCACACTGGAACACTGGACTGAGCTCCCAAGGTCCAAATGAGGAGCAGAAGGAGGGAGAACATGAGCAAGGAAGTCAGGATGCGAGGGGTGCACCCACCCACTGAGAGAACGGGGCTGATCTAATGGGAGCTCACCAAGGCCAGATGGACTGGGACTGATGAAGCATGTAATCAAACCAGACTCTCTGAATGTGGCTGACAATGAGGGCTGACTGAGAAGTCAAGGACAACGGCACTGGGTTTTGATTCTACTGCATGTACTGGCTTTGTGGGAGCCGAGTCTGTTTGAAAGCTCACCTTCCTAGACCTGGATGGAGTGGGGAGGACCTTGGACTTCCCACAGGGCAGGGAACTCTGACTACTCTTTGGACTGGAGAGGGAGGGGGAAGGGGATCGGGGGAAGGGGGAGGGAAATGGGAGGAGGTGGAAATTTTTAATAAAAAATAAAAAATTTGCTGGGAAAAAAATAAAATGACAAACTGAAAGGACAACCTAGACAACAGCAAAGCATATTTGTAAGTCATATATGATATGGCTTTTGTGCTGAGAGTAAACAACTGTAAAACTCAGGAAAAAAGTGACCCCTGCTCATCAGGGAAATGCAGATTAAAACTACTGTGAGACACCAGCTCACCCAGGTAGAACGGCTGTCACCCCAATAACTGACAGCAGTGCTGCAGAGGATGTGGAGAAAGAGGAACACTAGTTCACTGCTGCTGGGGGTGCAAATTGATGCAGTCATTCTATAAAGTCTGTGGGAGTTCCATGTGACATAGATATTTCACTGGGCATATGCCCAGAGATCCTGTACCCCACAATAGAGATATTTGCACCCCCATGAATACTGCTGCTCTATTCATTATACAAGGAGATGGAGCAAACCTAGATGCCCATCAACAAATGAATGCTTAATACAATTCTACTGCTATACAAATGAAATATTATTCATCTCTAGAGAAAAATGAAGCCACAAAATTTAAGGAAAGTTGGTAGACTTAGAATGTATAAAGTTAAATGAGATCACCCAATATCAGGGAAAAAACACATGTTCTTTCTAATATGTAGAGGCAACACTGACACACAGACTCCACCCCCAGCCCATGTGACTCCAGGAGGTGTCCTCCTCTGGGAGGAAGCTCAGGTCTGAGAATAAAAGCAGAGCAGACACCAGAGCAGGCAGACTTGGCAGCAGCCTGAGAGGCAAACCTCCTGTCCAGAGGAAGAGCCTAGGCCACAGCAGAGACCATGGAGATCTCCTCAGTCCCTCTCCACAAAGGGCAGCTACCCTGGAGGGGACTCCTGCTGGCAGGTGAGGAGACATTCCTCAGGGGTGTGGACAGCAGGGGAGCTCAGAGACTGGATGGGGTCTTCTGGGAGGGGAACTTTGTCTGAGAGAAGACATCTGGCTTCTGCTTGAAGCCTGAGAGCAACAGGAAGCTGGCATTGCTTGCAAATTTGTAAGTGGGGTGGAAAAACTCAAGGGTTCCCCACTGTAAGTTTATCAGCACTGACCTCTGTACCCTGAAGACTGACTCCCACAACTGTGTCAGGGTGCCTCTCCAAGTAAAACTCAAACTGGGGCCAGTAAACAGGGCCATTTCATACACACGACCCTGAGGAATCCACAAATAAACCCCAGACACTGGGACACTGGTCTGCTCACAGGTATCTGAGCCTGTTCCAGGCAGTGTGGTTTAAACCAAAATCAAACCAGTTCTCTACAAAGAGTCCTGGGCAGGAAGACAAAGCAGCAAGGACATCTAGAAAGTGGGGTGGGGTTGACAAGGACTTCAGAAGAAACAGAGTTGGGAAGGTCAGAAAATTAAGGCATGGAGTCCTTAGAGGAGGAGGTCAGAGAAGACATGCCTACACTCACCAAAGATTCTGAGTGTGAGCAGGGATCTGAGGGAGTGAGGTGAGCTGTGCAGACACCCGAGAAGACAGTTTCATTCAGTGGAAAGATTCAGGGGTACTGAGGAATGGGGGTGATGCTGCTGAACTCCCCCCAATATCACACACACACACACACACACACACACACACACACACACACCAAGGCTGAGAGTTGAACACACTCAGGTCTCAATTTCTGCCAAATGCAAAAATCTAATATTGACAGATTTTTCTCTCTTTCCTCTTAGCCTCACTTTTGATCTACTGGAGCTCTCCCATCATGGTCCAAGTCACTGGGGAAGCAGTTCCGCCCCACGTTGCTGAAGGGGCAAATGTTCTTCTACTCAACCACAGTCTGTCAGAGACATTCCTCATCTTTTGCTGGTATAAGGGAGAAACTGCGGATAACAGTAATGAAATTGCACAATTTATAATGTCAATTACCGTAAATACAACAGGGCCTGCATGTAGTGGCAGAGAAAGAAAATACCCCAATGGGTCCCTGCTCTTCCAGAACGTCACTCAGAATGACACTAGAGCCTACACATTGCAAATGCTAATGCAGTTCTTTGATAATACGAAAGCATCCGTGCACTTCCATGTCCACCATAATTCTCTGTAACCTCTGGGTCATGGGTGGAGCTAATCCTACTTCACACATAGAATTGTCAGTCCTGGATGACTGTGTTATGGTCCCCATGTTGTGGTTCAAGCCTTTAGTAAAGGACACAGAGTGGAGGAAACAGCAATAAATCAGGATCCCTCACTGGAATCCACCCTTAGAGAGAGGGGGTGAGGTAACTCAGCCCAGGCTGTCAGACTCTGCCCAGCATCTTAGATGCTCATCATGGACATGGCCTTGAGAAAGACCCTTCAGGACTCAGGCAGGGCCTGGCTGAGGAAACCATGAGACTCTCAGAGAGATATGAACACCTAAAGCTTTGCTCCAGACCTCCTTCCCAGACTGCACCAGGAATCCTGAGAAGCTTATAGACTGGGTTGGAATTTGAGCTCCTGTTGGAGTTGACAGGGGACAATGATTGACTGTAGGCTGGTAGCCTGCTGACCGTCAGTCTGTGAGAGCCATGTCTGAGGCAGGTCACCTGGGCATCTCCTCCTGAGACTCAGTGTGCTCAGCATAGGTGGAGGGGTATGAAAGGCAACCAGCCAGCTGTCCTGGTGGTCTTCTGAGACCTTGCAGGAAGGTGGAGAGCCCTAAAGAGATTGGAGAAAAGTGTACAAATGGCAGCTCCTTGCCTCGGGGAGGTCCAGTCCAGGGATTATTTCCTGCAGGCAAATAGTAAGAGACACTGCTTGGTGGAAGGGTCAGGTCACATTTAAGGTTAACTTGGAGGCATGGAAATGATCATTTACCCTGTGTCCTATTCTAGGGAACCTGAGACACGAAACATAGTCACTGAGTCAGGATCACACAGGCCATGGGTGGCACAAGCTATCTGTCCACAGCCACATCTCCAGTCTTCCCTTATTAGGAAGAGACCTATTAATAAATAATTAATAAAGAGACCTTATTAGGTGCCCTTTGGGTTTCAAGATTATTTCCTAGACTCAGGCTTCTCTTAGGGTTCCCTGATTCATGTCAATCAACATCAAACTCTCAAATTCCTGACAAGAGTTTGCCCCAGCTGAAGCCCTGCATGACCTGAATGACAGCCAGATCCTGATCTGTGTGCAATCTCTGACAGGCTGTCAGGTTCTCAGGGAAGCTCAATGGGAAGACTAATCATGACCTATCTGTAGGAGAGCCCTGAGCAGCAAAGGCTTGGAGGGCGCTGGTCCTCACTGAGCAGGGCAGGTCAGGGCAGCTGGACTCGCACATTGTGTCCTAAGACACACAATAGGTCAGTGAGGACCAGGAGATAACATGAGGTCTCTGATTCCAGGTCTTGAGTTTGTCCATCACCACACACTGCAGCTCAATTCCCTCCTGGGAAAGCCTTTGCTTCTCCCATACACAGCACAGGAGGCCCCATTGTCTCTGAGAGCTCAGCTACTCCATCTGCCTGTAATTTGCTTCCTGCCTGATTCTTTGGGAATCTGGGTTGGTGCAGAGATAAGAGGCTATGCCTGTTGAAAGAGGCTCTTGCAATAATTAGAGGCACCACACAGGGTAACCTTCTCTCTGTTGTCTGCTCACACAGCACTGCTACCCAAGCCCAAAATAGCAAGCAACAATTTCAATCCCATGAAGATGTGGGATTCCCCTTTATGACGCGAATACCATTAATGAATAAAGAAACTGCTTTGGACCTATAGCAGGGCAGAACTTAGCTTGGTGTGGAAAACTGAACTGAATGCTGGGAGGAAGAAGGAAGAGCCAGAGAGAAGCCATGTAGCCCTATTGGAGACAGATGCTTGAACCTTGATGGTAGGCCATGAGCCTCATGGTAAAATATAAAATATTGGAAATGGGTAAAATTAAGTTGTAAAAACTAGCCAATAAGAAGTTAGAGCTAATAGGTCAAGCAGTGATTTAATTATCCAGTTTCTGTATGGTTATTTCAGGAGTCTAGGCAGCTGGGAAACAAACAAGCAGCTCCTCCAACAAATTGGTGTGCCAACGTAGTTGACCAAATCCACGTAAAACCTAAGAAAGCTTGGAAAGGAATTCTAGACATTAAAAAACAAAATTAAGTCGTATTTTTTCCAGATGGGCTCTGCTTGCTGGTTGCATGCTTCAGCTCTTTAAGAAGGTCTTCCTGATTCAGTGGTAGTAGAATAAAAAAACAAGCTGTTTTGAAATGGTGGCTTTCTGGTCTGTGCTGCCAGTACAAACTCTGGTTCTTTTTTGGCATTGATGCCCACCACCCACTTCAGGTCTGGATGCTTATGTGCCAACTCAGGGTCAGGAGGAAAGTAGCTGAGACCATGCCTTGCCTTGGCAGTTGACTGGATGGAGTCTGCTAGGAGTGTACAGACAGGAGAGTATGGAACATTCCCACTTCCATACACAGAAATATATCCAGGCCATGCAGTGCACTGCATGGCAGCATTAGCTTTTACTCAGATAAAAGGGTTTATATACTGGACAGCACTACCCAGAGTTGAGGTGGTGAGGGTGGTCCCACCCAGTGGTCCTAGAACCTGCAGTGAACTACCTCCACCATATTTAAAACCTGAGAGAGGCAGAGCCAGCACCCAGGGCCACTCAGACCAAGCTGCTCAGCATTTTAAAAAGTACTCTTGGATAGAAAATGATTTCAGATACACAATTGGACAGATTCAGACATAAAAGACCTCTAAACGAGACACGGTGTGTTTTAAAAGAAAGATGTATATAGGTTTGGGACAGAGAAGAAAAAGAGTAAAGAGACAGTAAATGTAATATAAAAGAGTACAGACAGTCATAGATTAAAGGAATGAAGATAATAAAATGAATATTAAACTTGTAGAAAAAGTAATAGAGTAAAACCAAATAAGTCATGTAAAGATGGAATATACACAGGGAGTCTGGATTACATATACTATTGTGTTTCTATAAATTCTTTGACTGCAGAGAGACAATTGATTCTGGGGACTGCTAAGATAGACCAACACATATACTTTAAAGGTATATTGTCTTCAAAATTTGGGTCTAAGGTTATGTTGCTTTGGAAAAGAGGTTCTTCTTTTGTTTCCACAGAAAATGAGAACCTGTGGAATCTTTCCAGACTAATGTGGTTTGATGGACCAAGACCCCGTGAAAGGTCATTTGAACACTCTTAAAAATTACTTTACCCAACAAAAAGCAGGAAGCAGTTTGGAGAGAACTATGCCCATATTCCCAAATGCTGTCTATAAATGCTTGTTTACATTAAAAGGGGAATATGCTATAGAGATTTGCATTAGTATGAATCTTGGTTTATTGATACAAATTTAAGCTCAATTTTGTTACTTGTATATTTCTGCTCTTGATTAAGGTATTGTGTTTGTGCAGCTCATTTAAAAACGTAACGTATAATTAAGTAATATAGATGAATACATCTATTAATCATCTATAATAGTCAAGCTTATAGTCATGTTAATTAGGTTTTCTAGATGTAGAGAGATGACTTCAGATGGATAGGCATTCTTCAACCCTTTCAAAGACTACCGAATATGGCATTTAAAATGTTTAACTTAGGACTTTTCATGACAATGAGACAAATCTTCTCCTGGCAACACCAATAACTTCTAGAGGAAGATGGGCATCGAAGAGGCTCTTTATGGAGTTGGTTAGCCATTTAGGTAAGAAAGTCCTCTTGCCTGGACTGCTTGTTCTTATTCTGTATGACCTGGACATGTAGGACCCACAGAGAAATGACTGCTAAGTTTGCCTAAAGGTGAGATTGTCCTTCGGGGTTCCTGCTTCATAAAAGTGTGTGCTAGACATTCTGCAGGACACAGAAAAATGTTACTGACAAACTGCCAGTATAGGCGGAACTATCTTTGAAATTTCCTGTTTCATGGAAAAGTCTGGTGGATATTATGGGCCTGTAGGTTGAAGATTGGATGTTCCAAGGATGTCCAGGCAGTGAGATGTCTCTGTTAATTCTAGAGTTTTGGAAGTTGCTTACAATGTACTTCTTGTTTACTTAGGTAATATTATATCCTTCTGCAGTCTTTGATGGAGTTGAAGAATTTATAGTTATAGTTTTCTTTAGTTATGATAAAAGATAAAGTAGATACAAACTTTGTAACTGTAATCCTTGCTTGATACCCGTTTTGTTATATGTAATTCTATTATGTTAAAGTTAAAACCTTCCTTTTTATTTAAACAGAAAAGGGGAGGTGATGTGTGATTCCCCTCTGTATGTTGTGGATACCATTAATGAATAAAGAAACTGCTTTGAACCTATAGCAAGGCAGAACTTAGCTAAGCAGGAGAACCTAAACTGGGAGGAAAAAAGCAGAGTCAGAGAGAAGCCATGGAGCCCCACCAGAAACAAATGCTGGAACCTTGCTGGTAGACCATGAGCCTTGTGGTAAAATATAAAAAAATAGAAATGGGTTAAATTAAGATGTAAAAGCTAGCCAGTAAGAAGCTACCTAGGACAGAGAGGGCCTGAGGAAATAAACTCCACCGGGATCAGAAGCCAGGAGCAAACCTAGTCCCAGGAAACTGATGGATCAGGATTGAGTCAGCAACCAGATGCAGAGTCAGAGATCTCCACCAGAACAGGTACAGGGGAGTAACTGCTGAGCAAGTGAGCCAGAGTCAGAGACCACTGAGGGTCTGGACATGAATTTGGGACCTTCAATGAAGTAGGCCTAAACCAGGACCCTGTTGAGTCTGGGAGTGAATCGAGGACCTCCCAGGAACTAGGCCTGAGCCAGGACCTCTGCCAGTTTGGGCGTGAGTGAACCTGGGATCTCCAAGGGAATAGGCAGGAACCAGAGATTTTGGCAGTGCCAAGTGGGAGTCTGGGACCTCAGAGGGAGTAGGCATGAGTCAGGACCTCTGTGGGTCTGAGCATTGGTCTGGAACATCAAAGGGAATAGGCCGGAACTTGGAATCTCTGTGGGTCACAGTGTGAGTCTGGGACCTCTGAGGGACTAAGCAGGTCCTCTGCGGGTCAGGTTACACCCCAGCCTGGGACCTCTGAGGCAGTAGACTGGAGCCAGAAACCTTTCCAGGTCCAACTGCAAGCCAGGGACTTCTGCAGTAGGGGATCCAGCCCAGGATTTACAGACATAGGGCAAAACTGCCAAGCTAGGCCAATGTAGGCCTGAAACAGAAAACTCCAAGAGAGCAGAGCAAAGCACAGGAACACTGAGCTATCTCCAGGAACACAGAGTAGCCAACGGGGTAACTAGAACTGTGACACTGACTGTACCACAAGGAACAACAATCTGAGCCTTGGATTCACTGGCACCTAGAAGATTATTCAACAGAATCTCAGACAGCCCAACTACACCTAGAGAGGAAAAGATGAGTAGAAAAGGTAAGAACACATGCAATACCACAAAGAGCAACATGACACCAGTAAAACAAACAAAAAAAAAAACCCTACAACAGCAAGACCTGAAAAATCAAGTATGGATGAAACAGAAGAAAATGACCTAAAAAATAAATTCAAGAGAATGTTTGAAACTCTTAAAGAGGAAATGAGAAATTCTCTTAAAGAAATAGAGGAAAAGACAAAAATTGGAAGACATCAGCAAATCACGTAAAGAAAACCAAAAAAAAAAAAAAGAAAGAAAGAAATCAAACATATGAAAAACTATTCAGGACTTGAAAACTGAAATAGAGACACTAAAGAATATGCAAGCCAAGGGAATTATAGAAACAGGAATCATGAGAAAATGATCAGGAACCACAAATGCAAGCATGACCAGCAGAATACAAGAGATGGAAGAGAGAATCTCAAGTGCTGAAGATACAATAGTGGAAATAGACTTATCAGTCAAAGAAAATATTAAATCTAACAAAATCTTAACCCAATATATCCAGGAAATATGGGACACCAT